TTTCTTCATTTCTTTTCTTAGGGGGATACACTTTCTTTACAGCCCAGGTTAGCCTTGAGCTTGCTAGGTAGCTCAGGCTAGCCTCAGCCTCCTGCTCCCAGCTTCTTGTTTTCCTTTCAAGCAACCCTTTTCCTGGGGATTGCTGAAAATATTTCAGGCCAGGACTATACATTCTGTTTCTCAATTTTATGATTTTCCCCACAGGGCATCTTTCTACGAGAGTAAATGTTAGCTGGTGTTGTCATTTTAGGTGACTTCAGAATGTCTAACGGAGGAACGGTGTTCTTGGGGTGCCTTCCCTCTGGCTAGGGTTTGTCTGAATTGACAGTGGGTGCTTCGCTGGCTGTCCTTAGATCAACATGTGCTTACTCACTTGCGCCTTAAATGGGCTGTGAATTTGCACATTCTAGCTGATGAGGGTTGTGTTGTTTTCCAAGTTCACAGCCCAGCTAGGCTGCAGCCTTAATGCTCCCTCAGGCTTGCCCGTCATAAGTCCGTGCAGCACAAGGTGCTTTGGAGAGAATGGTAGCTTCTGGGGTGATCTGGGTGCAGGTGTGCCTCTGACTGGGCTGAGGGTGTGTGTGTGTCAGATTCCTGCCCAGTGAGATAAATACACAGCCCGTCATCAAACAGCAGGTCAGCAAAGAGATTTCGAGAAGGGCTAGCTGTGACTGTGTCTCCGTTCGTGTAGACCTCAGAGTTCTGTATAGACTTGGACAGACCCATGCCAGGCATTCAGGGAGTTTCCTCTGTGTGGCTCAGCTCCCCAAGAGGATGATGGGTAGGAGGATGCGTGGTCAGGGGGAACTCAGCCTCAAAGCCCTAGGCGTGTGTTTAGCCCAGCCTAGTGACTTCTCAGCCCACATTGTCTTAATTCAAGTTGTCATTCATAGACCAGCAGGAAGCTAAAATCAATAGAGGTGGAAATGGGTTTGAAGGGCGGCTAAAGCAGCGGGGCAGAGGGAACAGCTTCCGTTCCTCCGTGGGCTCCATCCCTCCTGGTTATTTAGGACTGGATCTGGTAGCCGTGTCTTTAAAACAGAAGAAGTTAAGAAAAGGCAAGAAGATTTCTTTTAAAGATGGCTTGGACATCCGTCAGGCGAGACTTGGGGTCAGGCTGTCCTTGGACTATGGAGAGCAATGAGGTCAACCATATTTGGGGTGAGTTTGTGTTTTCTTTCTGTCTGTTGATTCCTGTACTAACTTTCTGTAAGTCTGTGTACTTCTCCAGGCCACAGTCTTCTTCACTAGAATACAAAGTGATCTCTAGTAGTTTTTAGCCTATTTTCCTATAAAGAACTGAAGCAGATAGACCGTGGGGAGTCAGGAGAACAAGGATCTCAGGGCCAGGTGGTAAGCATGGATCCTGCCACTGTGTCCTGACAGCTACTCTGGGCCCCTTTCAATGATTTCATCAAGTTTTAATTTCACACAGGGGCAAATGCTTGGAGCTTAGCAGGTAGAGAAACTCCTTATCTCCCCCTGGCCTGGGGGTGGGGGGCTCTGGCATCTGTTGCATGCTCACTGGTCGCCACAGGAAAGCTGGAGTGCCCTTAATTCCAACCCTCTTCCCAGGCCCAGCAGACACATGGCGGGGGTAAAAAAAAAATAGTGCCAGGCTCAAGGGGTGAGGAGGTGCCAGGCCAATCACTCACATTACGCTGAAGGATGCTTCTGGGGTGTGTGGCTCAACTCACTTAATCCCTATCTCAGGGACTCAGAGGTCAGAGGAGTTGGGGAACCCAGATGCCTGTCCTAAAGACAAGGTCTTAGAAATAAAAGAGACAAAGACAGCCAAAGCGCTAGGATGCAAACACACACACAGTGTGTGTGTGTGTGTGTGTGTGTGTGTGTTAGCAGTGGTGGGGGTGGGGTAAAATTACATAGTCCAGTCTGTGTGACAAGGTTGAGTATTAGTTACATGAGGCTCTACTGAGAACCAGAGCACATGGGTATTATCACCTGTACTGGTTGGCTTTTCATTTGTCTGTTTTTGTCAGTTTGACACAAGCTGGGTCAGCTGAGAAAATGCCTCCTTCACCTTGGTCTGTAGGCAAGTTTGTGGGGGGGGGGCAATTTTCTTGACTAAAGATTGCCATGGCAGGACCACTGCCCGCTGTGGGCAGTGGTACTCTGGGCAGGTGGCGCTGGAATGTGTACGAAGAGCAGTTGACCCCAAACTTGAAGCCAGCCTGAGAGCATGCTTGCCTCCATGGTTTCTGCTTTAGATCCCGCCTCCAGGTCACTGCCTGGCTTCCCTTGATGCTGAACTGTGCTCCGTAAGCTAGAATAAACCCTTTCCTCCTCAAGTTGCTTTGGTCCTGGGGTTTATGCCAGCAATGGAAAGCAAACCAGGACAGTGCCAAAGGGCCAACGAGTCATCCTGGATGGAGCGGGGAGGAAGGTAGAGGAGGCTTCATCTCACCTGCCCAAGCCATTGCTGCATGGAAGTACTCAGGTCCAGGGCAGCTGGCTCCTTGGGAGTCTGTAATCAAGAAGCTCTTCCTGCTTCGAGATTCTGGAGTTTGTGGGATGTGCATGGACCCTAGAATTCCATATATGAAAACCCTCTCTGGCCAGAGAATGGTTAGAAACAGGCTTCCCGGGATTTGAAATGCATGATATGGACCAACCCATTGGGAGAGTTTTCTCAGTAGCTGCTTGTGACTGGGAGCTGGCTTTTAGGGATGGCAGTACCTTCCCCTGTTGATAGGAGCCTGCAAGAGCTCTCCAAAGCTCTGAGCAGTGTGTGCAGTGGCCTTCCTGTGCATGACTCTCCTCCACATCCAACAGCAGACATCCAGAGGATGCGGGTGCTGCGTGCCCTTGGCTGCAAGGCAAACAGGCCAAGACATGCAAAACACATAGTGGCCCTGTTCCGGCCACCTGCCACTTTTACTCAATAGTGATTCCAAATTTCTCTCTGTGTGTCTCACCTGTTGGCATCATGGGGTTTTACCCAAAGAGGCCCCATCTCACAGCTTGTCGCATATACGGGACTTTCTTTTTTTTTTTTTTTCAGTTTTTTTTTTTATTTTATTGAGAATAAGAAAAAAAAGTTTCCGCCTCCTCCCAGCCTCCCATTTCCCTCCCCCTCCCCCACTCTTCTCCCCCTCCCCCCTCTCTCCTCCCCCTCCCCCCACTCCTCTCCCCCTCCCTCTCGTATCCAAAGAGCAGTCATGGTTCCCTGCCCTGTGGAAAGTCCAAGGTCCTCCCCCCTCCGTCCATGTCTAGGAAGGTGAACATCCAAACTGGCTAGGCTCCCACCAAGCCCGAACATGAAGTAGGATCAGAACCCCTTGCCATTGACCTTGGCTTCTCATCTGTCCTCATTGTTCGCCATGATCAGAGAGTCCGGTTTTATCCCATGCTTTTTCAGTCACAGTCCAGCTGGCCTTGGTGAGCTCCCAATAGATCAGCCCCACTGTCTCAGTGGGTGGGTGCACCCCCCTGGTCCCGACATCCTTGCTCGTGTTCTCCCTCCATCTGCTTCTCATTGGGACCTTGGGAGCTCAGTCCAGTGCTCCAGTGTGGGTCTCTGTCTCTATCTCCATCCATCACCAGATGAAGGTTCTATGGTGATATGAAAGATATTCGTCAGTAATGCTATAGGATAGGGTCAATTCAGGTTCCCTATCCTCAGCTTCCCAAGGGACTAACTGGGGACATCGCCTTGGGCTCCTGGGAGCCACTCTAGGTTCCAGTCTCTTGCCAACCCTAAGGTGGCTCTTTTAACTAAGATATGTGCTTCCCTATACGGGACTTTCACTCTGACATACCTTGCCCAGAGTCCTCCCTATCCATGAAGGCCCTTGATTCTCTCAGCAACGCAGCTGACGTTCGTATCTTACAGATGATGAGTATGTGAGGTTCAAGATGGGACTCAGAATCTAGAGGTTGTATAACCTTGAGTAGAGTTTTCTTTGAAGTCATAGACTACCACATTCAAAGGAAGAGTGATGGTGGGGACCTTGGATATTAATCTTGACAATTGGGCCCCCATTTTTTGGGGTGGTGGGATTCTCTATAGGGGAACCTTCATCCCAGCAGACTGTATTTTCAGCATTTGGGGGAGATACTTACCTCAGTAAGGAGGGCAAAAGACACCTGCTACAGCCCTCCGCAGATGGAAACATTGGGTATGCAGAGTGAGATCTCCTCAGGACCACAGAGTCTTGTGCTCCTGGGACCCCCTCCCCAAAGCCTGGCCACCAAAATGTCTCTTATCCTGATGAATGATGGAAGAATGTCGGGGGACAGTCTCTGCTCCCCAGAACCAGGAACACTCAGAGCATGCACCTTTGGGGAGCCCCTGTGTCCTTCTGGCAGAGTCTGCCCAGCACACTGGCTCAGGCCTGGTTCCCCAACAACCCAGGAAGGTGCTGAGCCCTTGTTGGGTAGCTATTCATTTCTGGATGGCGGCACCTTGTTTATTTTATGTGACAGTCGCTTCCATCCCCCTGCAGTAACAGAATGTTCTGTGGTGTAGTTTATGATCTTTAATTAAGGGTACTTAATTTGGTTCAGAGGCATCCTTTGTTAGTTAGAGACACCCTAGGGTGTTTAAAAGCCAGTTTTGGAATCAATGCCATCAAAGCTTGCAGTCTAAGCCAGACTCAGTTCTTGGGGTGCTGGTTTAGAGTAGAAGGGCATGGTGCCTCCTACCCACTTTGGGTCTCCATTGAGAAACTGGAACTTTTCCCATTTGCCTGGAAAAAAAAATAAATGGGCTCATCTTCCAAAGAACATACCCTACCAGCCCCCCAAATGGACCATGAGCCAAAATTATGTTTGAGAAGGGGATGGACCATTTAGATGACAAATGGGCTTCCAGGCGCTGTCAGGGAGTCCAGGCGGGGAGGACTATTAATGGTCACACAGCGGCAGCCACATCTGTGATACCAGAGCCAGTCGGTGGGTCCCCACTGCTGTGTTTTCTGCTCCTTAATGCGGTATTGTTTACTCACAATTAAACCCTTTACCATTAATTTAACTTTCAGATGCTGAAATTGGTCACACAGCCTCGAGTCCCAAGGCCCGGACAGATGTGTTCTATACACTTGTTTAAACACGGCGCTCATTAGGAAGTAAGGCATGTAAAGCAAGTTGATCACACCACAAAGCAGGACGCTTTATCACGGGGGCCTCTCCGGAGGCGGCGGGAGGGGCTGTCAGCTGCCACTGTCACTCTGCTGCCCCTCGGATCCTGAGTGACAGCCAGGCCCGCCACCTCCTCAGCTGCCTGCTCGGAAGTACACAGCTTCCCGTCAGAGCGCCGCCGAGCTGCCTGGGAGGAGGTATTAATTGTTGTCAGCGTTCATTTCACACCCCAGATAACAAACGAGAGCCACCCTGGCAGTGTGCAAGGAAGATAAACAAGTTGCCTGAGCCTCTGCAATTAAACATGCTTGCATATTTAACGAAGACATTTCCTGGAAAAATGCAAGCGGCTCTGAGCAGACATCACACAGAGGCCCTTCCAAAAGACACAGGGTCCTGTGACGTGGAGGCTGATTACTCTATGTGGCTCAGAAATGGGAATCCCATTTCTCCTATGGCTCTTCTTTCCTTTTTTCTCCTCTCCTCTCCTCTCCTCTCCTCTCCTCTCCTCTCCTCTCCTCTCCTCTCCTCTCCTCTCCTCTCCTCTCCTC